CTACCTGTAACAAAATGCCTCGGACCTGCAGTCAAAGACTGGAAAGCGTAAAATACTAGAAGTACTCTTCCCCTGTATAATTCTTAACGGTAGGACTGTCTTTAAAGGTCCCATTTGCCTTTGACTTGTAATAGTAAACTGATTTTACGTTTTCAGTAGCTCGAGTTTCCTTTTTTATTTAAGTACCGCTAATATAAAGTCAGATTTCCATCAGTAGGCATCATTTGTCTGAGCAGCGGGAGTTTATTTTAATGGAATTGATTATATTTAGCTCATTAAAGCAATTACAAGTGACTTTGCATTAATATTATTTGATCACTTTCAAGACAACTAAATATTCATTTACACTTATTACATGTTTAACCACCAATTACGTATGACAGTTGGGCCGGGAGAATAGATATTTAGGCAGCCCTACAGGAGATGCAGAGAAAATGTTTTCTGCCGAACATGCACCGTTCCCTTCTTCACAGATTTATATCCTGTTATGTAGGTCTATTTGCAGGCAAGTGATAAAAATCGTTTTGATTTATATCAGACACAGTTTCTCGGACAACATTTGTGCGGCATCCTCGCGTTCTTCGACTGTCGACTGCTGGACGACGAGTCCCCGCTTGAAGAAAGGAAGAGAGCTCTTCTAAGCCTGGCCATTTTCATGGATCTGGTTGGAACTCAGCCGGTCTCCCGCATGCGAGCCAAGTTTATCGCCACCCTAAATTGAGTCTCACCTCTTTTATTCGATCACTTCCTCCACTCTTTCTGTAGCCTCTGTTCTTCCAACGTGTGGCACTTCCATTTGGGTTCTAGACTTTGTCTTTCCGCTTCGAATGCTCTATAAATTTTGCGGTTAAGGAGGCTTCTTAAAAACAAACGTATAATGAGCCTTTTAAGCCTGGCATTTTCTTGGAATTAAGCCAGTTTAACAGACATCTTATTGTTATGTTTTGCTTCATCATCACCCGAATTGGTAGGTCAACTTTTCGTACTTTTTCCTGGGCCTTTTGAGCCTGCTGCTGCATCAAAAGGCGGTCATTACCATAGGTCCGCTATAGATTTGGAGACTTGATAGTGTATTAACTCTTATCGAGAAATGTTGCCATCCTTACCCCAATTCACTTTTATTTTAGGCTGTGCTTGCGGTACAAGTTTGTCGAGCCGAACGTCGTGGTACAGCTGTGGACTATGTTTTTGAAAATGTAAGTGTGCTTTTACCTCCGTATTCTGCGTCTGTTATGAATTTAAACTCCTGCCCACTGGGGATAGCATATT